GGTTAAAGGCCGAGCAGGGAGTAACCCAAGCCGACACGAGTCAAAGTGGATCGGGCGTACTTTTCTGATTCTGGTTTTAGGATTGGACCCAGCCCAGCCCATAACCCGCTAGATAGGGCTGACAACCCGTTAATTGTGGGTGGACCTATGGGATTTTTTCGACTTTTTTCTTTTTTTTCATTTCTAAACTATATTAACTTTGTATTCATATTTGTAAAATTATATTGAATTTATTTTCCCCCTATTTCAAATTTTTTATTTAAAATATCACACATCACAAATACAAAGATATACGTAATTTTGAACTTTGAAGAAACGCCCGATTGCTTGAGGCCCATTTATTTTTTGCTAAACAAAGTAAATATTTATCATTAAACTCAAGTCGAGTGCGGGTGGGCTGGGCAGGGCCATTGGTGGGCTGAGCCTGCTTCTTTTAGTCCCAGGTGTAGATCTAGCCCCGCCTATGAAACACGACCAATATGGTCTAGGTTTAGACCCAAACCGGTCTAGGCTGGTTCAGCCTGCTTTTGGAATAGATCCATGCCCAACCCTAAGCACAACTGCACCCCTTAGAATGTGAAAAGAATCAAGCAGTTTCACATACAAAAACAGCCAACCTCTACCAAACTAGACAAGCATTACAAAAATGCTATTTGACTCGCGGGTTGGGCAACTCGCGCCCAACTCGCAGTCACTGAGTAGGGGGGTGGGCCCCACAAAACTGTGGGGCCCACCCCCTACTCAGTGACTACGAGTTGGGCGCGAGTTGCCCAACCCGCGAGTCAAATAGCACAGCCCCAAGCATTACCATCTTCATCATGGTTAGAGGGATATACTTGTCCTTTCATTAAAAAAGTTAAACTAAATGGAATATTCTTCTTAATTTATAACCTCACCCAACCGCAGAGAGTAATATCAACATACTAATACAATTTAGGGTACTAATATCAAAATTTTGGAGGACTAACATCAAAATATAAACATGTAGGGAACTAACATCAAAATAATGATGATATAAGGGACTAACATCATAAAAACCCTTCTCAAAATTGAAATGTCCACCACCAGAATCCCTCGCCCCTCCTCTCTCACCATCAGAAACCTCTCCGACAAAAACCCAACAAAACCCCACCAACAAAAACAAAACCCTCCGCCGATCATCAACGCCCTCGTCTCCTTCATCCACTCCCCTCCCCATCTCTCCCAAGTCCTCGCCCAGTTCCTCACCTCCGGCCACCATCACGATCCATTCCTCGCCGGGCATTTCATCAAACACCTCGCCTTCTCTCTGCCCTCCCCTCGCCTCGCTGCCTCCCTCTTCTCTCTCCTCCCAAACCCCGATGCATTCATCTCCAACACCGTCATCAAGTCCTTCCTCCTCAATTCCCAGCCTGAAGAGGCTCTCGCCTTCTATCGCGACTCCGTCGCTAACTCCTCCATATCTCCCAGCAATTTCACGTTCCCTCTGCTTGCCAAGCTGTTCTCTCACCTGGGTCTTGCTCCAAACGGGATGCTGCTACATGCCCAGATCGTGAAGCTGGGGTTTGAAGAGGATTTGTATGTTCGGAACTCGGCGATTCATATGTACGCTTGCTTTGGCCATCTGGGCAGCGCTTGGAGGTTGTTTGAGGGTTTCGTTGAGGAGGCTGATCTTGTTACTTGGAACTCGATGATCGACGGGTGCGTCAAGAATGGGATGGTGGAGGCTGCGCGGGAGCTGTTCGACGAAATGCGTGACAAGGATTTGGTTTCTTGGAACATTATGATAGCGGGCTATGCGAGTGTGGGAATGATGGAGAAGGCGAGGGAGCTGTTTTCTATTATGCCAAAGTGGGACGTGGTTACGTGGAATTCGATGATTGATGGGTATGCGAGGGATGCTAATGTCGCACTTGCTCGTGGGTTTTTCGACGCGATGCCTAAGAAGAGCTTGGTTTCTTGGAACGTAATGTTAGCTTTGTATGCGAGGGTGAAGGGTTATAAGGAGTGTTGCAAGTTGTTTGATTCGATGATCGCAGCTGGGGTGGTGAGGCCGAATGGGGCTACATTCGTCAGCGTGCTCACTGCCTGTGCGAAATTAGGGGACCTTGAGAGAGGTAAATGGATACATTCTTTGGTCAAGAGAATAAAAGGGTCAGATGTGCTACTCTTGACCTCGCTTTTGAATATGTACGCTAAGTGCGGGGCGATGGATGATGCAAAGGAGGTGTTCGATCAAATGTCTGATAGAAATGTAGTGACATGGAATTCGATGATTATGGGTTACGGGTTGCATGGGCTTAGCGAGAAGGCGATCAAATTGTTCTTCGAGATGGAGAGGAGTGGAATACAACCCGACGACAAGACATTCACGTGCATCTTGAGCGCTTGCGCACACGGGGGACTAGTGGTGGAAGGGTGGTGGTTCTTTGAGCAAATGGTTAGGGTTTACGATCTACAGCCAAAGGTTGACCATGTCGGTTGTATGGTCGACCTCCTAGGGCGAGCTGGCTTGTTGAACGACTCCGAGGAGTTAGCGAAGCAAGTGAAAGGCAAGCCATCCAAGGCTTTGTGGGGGGCTCTAATGTCGGCATCTAAGACTCATTGTAACTGGAACCTAGGTGAGATTCTAGGGAGAAAGATGATAGAGACGGAGCCTAGAGACGTAGGGCCTTATGTGTTGCTATCGAATATTTATGCGTCAGAAGGGAGGTGGGATGAGGCTGAGCAGGTGAGGGAGGTGATGAGGGAAAATGGGGTGAAAAAGGATGTAGGAGTTAGCTTGGTTGATGGGAGGGGTTTAGGGTTTGATGATCACAAGAGTTCTGTTGGAAAAAAGAGGATAGTGGACTCTATGTTGAGTGAAATGGGTGCTCATTTGAAGATGTCATATGGAGGAGAGCTTGGAGGGAGAGAAAGAAGCCTACAACGTGTATCTAGGTTTTGAGGCATTTGTATCACTTGTAAAATTACGTTTTTCTTTCAACATTAGTAAGAACAAATAGATGAATGCAAATAATCAAACTGTATATGTTGATGGCACGCGATGGTGGTGAGGCAATTGCGGTTGGAACTTTCTTCATCGTCGGTGTAAATTTGGCAAACGGTAAACTTTGAAGTTCCGTGTTCACGACTGCAATGTAAACTGTTGTTGGGGAAAAACTATCTCATCTATTCCTCTATAATAATGGATGGATCTAAGATTCACTATTTATGCTACAGTAAATTACTGTAGAACAGACCGGAGGATCCAAGATTCACTTTTTTCACGCTACAGTAATTACTATAGTACAGACGGAAACTGTAGCGTTTAAAATCATTACTGTAGCATTATTATTGTAGCTCAGGTGTGAACGATAGCATTTTAAAAAAATATTATTGTAGTACCTACAAAAGCTGTATTTAAATATAAAATTAGTATAGCAGAAATAAAAAAAATGGACGTCGTGATTTGCATGGGTGCACATTAGTTCTATTGAAAGTGATATAAGATATAACACGATGCAAGCTGCATTTGTAAACTGTTTAAGATCCAAATGAATTGAAGCCCACTAATGAACCTACCAAGATTGTTACTGGACTAGATCGTAGGCCTTTACTTGAAAAGGAAGAAGGGTTTTTATCATACTAGACCCTTGCGTCTTTGTTAATTCTATGGTCCCCAGATCTACACATTGTTTTGAAATGGGGGAGTTGTTTATAATAAATGAATAGATATGGGGTGGAAATTAAATTTATGGGGTTTCATTTAAAACAACTTAATGGATTTGTGGGTCTAATTTAGAAATATGAAGTTTAGGTGTGTAATAAAGAATCAACAAAGATTTTAAGGTCTAATATGGAAAGGGCAAAAAAACCCTAAAAATGCGAAACGATCTGGCTTTTGATTTTGGGGCAAAAGTTAATAGAGTTCCCTATAGAAATTACACAGAGTGATCACGTACAAGGTGACAACCTGTATTATTATCAATCTTAAAGTTGGTGAGTACACTGACTCTGTACTGTTTATATTGATGCACTATTCTTCTTGCTAGATATTTTTTTTGTCATTCACATCAATCAATGACATGAAATACACACATTTTATGAGTACTGCCCTTCCTGCACGCACAAATGCATATGCATGTGCAAAATATATATATATATATATTACATTTTCTTAAAAAAGGATTAATTGTGTTTAAATAATCCAAAGTTTCATCTTTTTTTTAAGTTTTATATTTTAAAGTTTAAATTTGCTCAAAAATAATCCAAAGTATCTAAGATATAGTGTTTGAAAAATGTAATGATGTAATATTCTTATTACTTTGATACCTTGGATTGGAGTTATTGGAGCATGAGAAGGTTGGTTTTTATTTATAAATATCAACTAAAATCATTGTAGACAATATTTTATTTCCTAATAATAAAATAAATAATTTCCATCAAAAAATTATATAAAAAGTTATAAGGAGTTGTCTCAAAAACTCCTAATTTAAAATAAAAAATGCTTAAAATTGATCATAGTCAATTTTTCAATCATTATATTTTGCATTGAAATATATCAAATAAATCTTGAGAAAGGAAGCTTATCTGTTTTATATTTAAATTGCAACATTATTTATAATAACACCACCTAATGTACTTTTATAAAGAGATAATTTCTTTATTTTATTTTCTTTTTCTTATTTCGAGAACATTCTAAGTCACGTCATGAAATAATATTTGAACTCACATGCTTTAATATCTATTAATATTAATATTTAGCTACATAAGGTCATGATTTAGAACGTTTTAGAAATAAGAAAATTTTCTCTTATAAAATTATAATTTTACCTCATAATTGCAATGGAAGAGAGTACAATGTCTTTCATTCCTCTGGAAATTTCACTACCCTCACTAGTTTTATATATTAGCATAGGTTTTATGTTCATTGGATGTCTCATATCTATAATTTAGATATGCCCATTGTTTTTGCATGTGTTTATAATTTGGAGTAACAAATCCAATCAGAAGAGTGTGGTTCAAAAATTAAAAGAATAAAAATAACATTTAAAATCAAACGAGAACAAAGATTTACAGCAAATTATTTGTAAATTTTTAGCATAAAATTATATCGAACTCTATATATTATTTGTTTTCTTATTTATTCCTCCGATAATGTAGCTTTTTTTTCTTTCTTATAGCGATCCAAGTATTTTTCTCATGCTTGCTTGGGAGAGTCCTATTTGTAGAATAAGTAATACAGAGCTGGTAGTGAGAACTGAACCCGTATTATTAACTTGGAAAGCTAGGGTCTATTTTTTTTATATCTTATTTGATTGGTCTCTACGGGTTTCTTTTTTAATCATATGTTGTGCTTCTAAATTGAATTGAATAGTACTTTTTTAAACTGCTGCTTCTTCTTTGCTGTTTTTATATGTACTCTACTTTTTACGGATATGAGCAAACAAAAGGCTTATACCAATGACTTATAGCATATGGATTACTAAAAGTTAGATAATCTGAGCTAGATTTTTGTCTTCAAATAATTTAAAACTTCAAAGAAATTCAAAATAAGGGGGTAAATGACTTTTATTTCAAAGTTTAAAATTCAGAATTAGATAGTTTAACCGCCAGTCTCTCATTTACAATATTTCTCTTTATTCATAATTTTTTTTAAAGATTAAAAAATAACCCAGCTTGTTGAATGAGCATGTGGATAGTTTTTATTTGACATTTTCAAATTCACAGCTAGATAGCGTAACCACCAAACTCTTCTTGGTAATATCTATCCTTTAATATAATATTTAAAAATAAAAAAGATAAAAAAAATTTGGTGCTCCTTTGTGATCACAACACTAGAAAATGTATTTATTATTATTATTATTTGATGAAGGCATTACTCACAAACTGAGGGTCGTTGTCGTGCGTCTTGGAACTCTATATCGCTAGATGATATGGTGTTTGATGAACTTGACAACGTCGCTAGTCTTTACTTCTTTGAGTGGAACTGCTTCGAGCCATTTTGAGAAATAATCGGTGATTTGACAAGCCCTCTTTGATAGAGTTGGCGCGACTCCAGTGACTATCTCCTTAATGGAGGACTTCAGATTTGAAGATCCAACATTCTCGGACACCGGAGGAACGTTACGAGATGTAACTGCAGTAGCAACAGGACGGAGATCATCGTCTTGGGTCTTTAGATCTGAAGACCAGCGGACCTTCCTTGAGGAGGAGATCCTCTTGCACTTGTGAGGGGAGGAGGATCTGGAGGAGGAAGACATGTACTCCTCGTATTTTTGCTTGTCGAACTCGTATTCGACCTCCGTATCAATCAGGATAAGGATCCTTGGTTGCGACACTACAGCCTCGACAGAGAGGTTGTCGGCTCCCACTGTGATCACCAGTTTGATTGGGTCAAAAGTTGTATTTTTCATTATCATCAAACCTGTTACAATCGTTTATCGATTATAAGTTCAAAAAAATAGAAAAGTTAATTTTTTATAAGATCTTCTTATACAATAAAAAATAAAAGATTATAACTTTATCAAACAACACATAAATCCTATTTATTAGTCTCTGTTTACGTGGGATCTTTACGTGTACCGGGGTTTATCCGTGGACTACTGTGGATCAGATCCGGTTGATCGGAAGGCTAGGAGTTCATTACTTCACAAAGGAAACAAGAACAGAAGTGATAATCTCGACCAAACGAGATTATGACTCTTCTCGAGATCAAGTCCAAGCCTGATCTCAAGAAAAGGGTGGACGGGGCTTCAGATCCTTCGAATTGCTCCTTCTTTATGCTGGGATTCGCCAAGATCTGTTAGCCCTCGCTAAAATTTGTGGATCACTCTTCAAACCGACAACACTTCACCCCAAAATTTTCGATTCGGAGAAATGAACCCCCAGACTTGTATTTATAGAGCTTCGGATGCAGGGTATTTCAATAAGAATGAATAATTTGGCCATATCTTCAGTTGGCAATAGCCTAACCACATTTAATAATGATATCTAAGTAGTTGGGAGGCTTCTGGAACGAACAAATCCTGAGAAAACAGTTAAAAATGCATCTTGGAGGTTTCGGGTGCGAGTCACGTCAACGTGACCTGCTAGCTTGCGCGTCACCTTAAGGTGACGTGGTCCTGTGCGGGTCGCTTTAAGGTGACCCGCTGGCTTGCGCGTCACCTTAAGGTGATGCGGCCATGTGCGGGTCACATTAGGGTGATCCGCTCGTGTGCGGGTCCACTTAGGGTGACCCACACTTGCGCGGGTCACCTTAGGGTGATCCGCGCATGCGAGTCATTCCAAGGCGTTTTGCACTTTCCAACTTCTCTGGACTTGTCTTGTTCTGTTGTTTTATGTATTTTGTCGTTCCGTTGACTCATACGCTTTGTCGATTCACTTCATACGCTTGTTGATGCCAAATAACATTCTTTGACTCGGATAACGACATTCATTGTCTTCTCTCTGTCTCGAGCTGTGTGTAGGAACCTATAGGTAGTTTTTGACGCCTACAATCCTGAGCCTTATTTTGGCAAAATTATCGATGCGTTGACCGACGTCAACCTTTATTGTAACACGTTAACTGGCGTTTGACCTTCGTTGTAACGCGTTGACCGGCGTTGACCTTCATTGCAACGCGTTGATCGGCGTTGACTTGCGCTGTAACGTGTTGACCTACGTGAATATAGTTTATACTCATACGTTAACTGGAGTCTACACAGTTTAATCTCGACCGCTGTTGTAAAGTGTGTCAGGCCCAAGTGTAGAGGTTGCAGGACCAACTGTTAATGTTGGTTCATCTACAAGTATAGATCTTACCTTTACGTTCCGCTAGTTATTTACTTAACCATAAGGGAGTTTTGGTTGTAGGACCAGCTATTAGAGCTGGTATGACTACCACTGCGAATGCGTCCAAGGTCCTTCGTGGAAACTTCGGCTGGAATTGATATTCTCCCGGTGTTCAAGTCATGAGACCGACTGGTGAAGTTGATGTGTCAATGACTTTTGTACCTTATTACGATTACTCATTCTATTTAGAATAAATAATCATAATACTTATAGGATTTTGGTAAACCCTCAGTCATAAACGGGTTTGACGGGTCTTTACCGACTACCGTTTGAGTCGGGCTAGCATGCAGATTGTTTGAGCCCGTTTCGCATGT